GACCGTTAGACGACCCAAAGAGAAAGTGATCCAAGCCGTAGGCCTACAATTATGGGGAGAATAATTTGTTGGCCGTCTATGAATTTTGGTAGTGTTTAGTTTATCATTTAAATGTTGGAAAGGCACCTTATAGAATATAACCAGGGCCGGATCTAGAGAAAAATCTTGGTAGGGCCCATGCAATGTGGAGCACGAGTTGGTGGGGGAGAGGTGGTGCTTAAATTTTTGGTTTAGAAATGCTTGAGAACCATAGAGAATGGTGAAATTTAAATCGAAAATTAGCTTGTATTAGAGTAAGCCTGTCGTAACGTGTTCTCTTATTTCTGAACTTCTTTCTTTTCTTCTCTCTTTTGTCTCTATATATTTAGGGCAGCTGCTAGCGCCCGTGCTTCCTAGATCCACCCCTGATTAATCGTTGCATGCAAATATTAAAAAATGTGTGTGCAAAATATTATAGTTGATTATATTGTTAAATAGCAACACGATATATTTTAAGAATGTAGGTAAGAATGGCCCCGGAAAAAATGGCCCCAGAAAAAATGGCCCCGGAAAAAATGGCCCTGGAAAAAATGGCCCCGGTAAAAATGGCCCCATAAGACAGGTAGGTAAAAATGGCCCCAATGAAAAATTCGGTAATAGAAATGATATATTTATTTTTAAATCTTCAAATATTTAAATACTGTATAAGCAAGAATTGAATCAAGAAATAAAAAATGGCCCTCATTTATAAAATTCAAGAAAAAAAAATTAATAATAAATAAATAAATAAATGCTGTAAAATACCCTGTAGTGAAAATTTAATTAATAAATCACCATAAAGAATATACATATTTGTGAACTAAAATAAATTGGTTTTTAGCTCCTATGAATAGCTCTGGGATTAGGTCTAAGTATTTTTTAAAATTATTAATATTATTAGATATTATTACTATATTTGCGGTCAATTATTAATATTATTATTATTATTAATGGCTCTGATGGGAGGCTCTAAAACATTGATTCGGCACCAACTTGCAGGGAATGTTATAAACCATTTTCGTCAACATCATGTAGTGGAGAAGTGTAACGATGCGCTAGGCTAGTAAACATAATACAGTACTGTACTTCAAAATCCATAAGTATTGGCTCGGGTGTTGAAAATATATCCACCGACATTATCATCGTGTAGAAAAACAAACCATTAAGAAATTGACCTTGTTAGAATAGAACTTGTTGAACGCTGACGTTCTTACAGCCTGCGACCACGCGGTGCTAATAATGATACAGGCTACAGTACTGTCTTGCCAAATAGTTTGAATTATTTTATGTTTAAGTTTTATATAGTTCTTGTTTAAGTAACATATTAATAAATATAGAATATAGGCCCTATGTACAAAACATTTCAAAGCCAAAGCAATTATTATCTGCTAAACAGACAAATAATGTTTTAAGCTGTCTCTTATACACATCTAGATGTGTATAAGAGACAGTTATTAGACCGTTAGACGACCCAAAGAGAAAGTGATCCAAGCCGTAGGCCTACAATTATGGGGAGAATAATTTGTTGGCCGTCTATGAATTTTGGTAGTGTTTAGTTTATCATTTAAATGTTGGAAAGGCACCTTATAGAATATAACCAGGGCCGGATCTAGAGAAAAATCTTGGTAGGGCCCATGCAATGTGGAGCACGAGTTGGTGGGGGAGAGGTGGTGCTTAAATTTTTGGTTTAGAAATGCTTGAGAACCATAGAGAATGGTGAAATTTAAATCGAAAATTAGCTTGTATTAGAGTAAGCCTGTCGTAACGTGTTCTCTTATTTCTGAACTTCTTTCTTTTCTTCTCTCTTTTGTCTCTATATATTTAGGGCAGCTGCTAGCGCCCGTGCTTCCTAGATCCATCCCTGATTAATCGTTGCATGCAAATATTAAAAAATGTGTGTGCAAAATATTATAGTTGATTATATTGTTAAATAGCAACACGATATATTTTAACATTGTTTACTTTACATTATTTAAGCCTATACCAAAATCAAAGCTATGTATTATTATAACGATTATGAACATTATAATAATAATTATTATTATTAATGCCATTATCATTATGATTTATTTTTATCATTACAAAATAATAATAATAATAATAATAATAATAATAATAATTATTATTATTATTATTATTATTATTATTATTTCATTATTATCAAGGATCCCTATGAGTCCATATGAGACTAGGCTCGCCTTCTAATTGTTATCCTAACAATGATTTTTTTTTCTTTCTCTTTAAGATAATTGTTTGAATGAATGTAATTGCAATTGATAAATAAAATTGAAATTGAGAAGTTACTTCGTAACAATGGAATTATCGTACTTTGTAAACTGTCTCTGTTACTTCAAAACTTGTATTAATAATAGTTTGGTGTGGGTAGGCCTTATGATAATTATAAACCAAGGGACTCATATCTGTCACAATTTTTAATAACCCTTCAAATGCTTTTGGATTAAATAAAAACTCGTGATAATGATTGCGTGGTGTGAGTATGGTTCCGGTAGGTCAAAAATCAAATGTCTCGCATTTTTTAAAATTTTCATAACACTACAATGAAGTTGACATCAAATAAATATAACACCTAAAATATAGATAAATAGATAAATAAATAAATAAAAATATAAAAATAAACAAACAAGTTAATAAATACATACCGTATATTATAACCTAAAACATCCCAATAACTTGCGACTAAAAAAGACTTGCACTGTAAAAGGATGTCAATATCAATATAATACGAAACTATCATACGTAAGTATCAAACAAACGCTTAAATAAAATTGTGTAAATAACACTTCAGGCCAATAAAATTGGTACCCTCTCGTTTAATGCGTCTCACGTAAAACATATTTTATCAACTCTTTTTGATATTTATAAGGGTTGGCATTCCAATGCTATGACGATGTAGTCAAGGTCTTGCTGCGTTTCAATTCAGTCTGTCACGGGTCTTAGCGTGTTACCTCTGAAATAGCGTCAGTACATCAGTACATGATATTTGACAACGACATTGGGAATCTGTTCAGAGATACATTATACACCGTTAATGTACCATGATTCCATCTTTTACAAGTTAGATATCTAAATACAATAGGCCAATTAGTAGTATTATTCTGTAGTCGAAGATCTAAAAATTACAATTAATTCTCCCCCTCCTCCTCCTCTTCTTCTTATTTATTAATATCAATCATCATTAGGCCTACCACTATCATCATCATCATCATCATCAACAACAACAACATATCAGTATTATTATGCTTAAATAAATTAGCTTACTTTGTCTATCCATACTGTTTATGTTTAGCTTCACATTCACCTGAAGAAGTGCACTGTGTGCACGAAAGCTAGTGTACTGTCAAATAAACAAGTCTTTAAAGTAGTAGGACTACTAATGTTTTTTGAGTGTTTTTTTCTAGTATCATTATAGTTATCATTGCTATGTGTCATTTTACCTTATGTAAAAACAAGTATGCTTAAATATTGACATATCCATACGGAAGGCCTACTGATAAATGATGGGATTGATCAATAATAGCATAAATACGAATACGTGCTTAATCAGGTTCATTAAATTGCAAACTTAATATTACAAATATTTATGATCTTGTATTACCACCTGTTGAATAAAATGTGACGTCTTATCTGCAATAACATACCGGTTCCTATGGTGAGGCAATGCTGCCACATCGTGATATAAAAACATCAGCAGTACCTAAATTATTTGTACAAACAAGTGTTGCTATGGTAACTCTAAGACCAATATTAACTTCTAAATTTATTATTTTAGATTTATAGTCGTAGAACTATGAAAAGGATTTTGGAGTGTTGGCATGTTGTTTGGAGAGAATCGGATAGAGCATGGAAAGATGTAGCACTTAAATCCGATGATCTCAAAACATGCTTTGCAATTAATCTCCAGCAATGCTTTAAAGTCAGGCTCCGGAGGAAAAAAAATATGTTGTAGAACTGATTTTTCTAAGACAGAAAAAAGTTGTTTGACGAAAAACTGGGGAACGGTGAATGAGATACAGATTTTTTAATATTTAAAAACTGGGGGAATAAGGTGTAAAAATGGGCAGTTACGCCCCTTTTCCCCCCAGTTTTTAAATATTAAAAAATCTGTATCTCATTCACCGTTACCCAGTTTTTTGGCAAACAACTGTTTTTTGTCTTAGAAAAATCAGTTCTACAGCATATCAATTTTTTTTCCTCCGGAGCCTGACTTTAACATCATGTAGTGGAGAAGTGTAACGATGCGCTAGGCTAGTAAACATAATACAGTAACTGTACTTCAAAATCCAAAAGTCTTGGCTCGGGTGTTGAAAATATATCCACCGACATTATCATCGTGTAGAAAAACAAACCATTAAGAAATTGACCTTGTTAGAATAGAACTTGTTGAACGCTGACGTTCTTACAGCCTGCGACCACGCGGTGCTAATAATGATACAGGCTACAGTACTGTCTTGCCAAATAGTTTGAATTATTTTATGTTTAAGTTTTATATAGTTCTTGTTTAAGTAACATATTAATAAATATAGAATATAGGCCCTATGTACAAAACATTTCAAAGCCAAAGCAATTATTATCTGCTAAACAGACAAATAATGTTTTAAGTTATTTTCGCCAGATCTCAAAACTGTACTCTTTAATTCCAATGTAAACTTTTACGAAATATCGGCATAAATCAGGGAGTTAATATTATACGTTACTATTAAACATTTTTTTTAATCATAGCTCTTTGTTATATAGCTCAGTGACCCCAAAATAAAAATGGTATCGTCCATGTTATCAAATTACGTTCCAAGAGAGTAGTAACTCCCAAGCTGAGCAGCTCAAATCACCATTCCATTCCGTTAACAGTGCTCTCAGATTATACAGTACCAAATCCATTTTCTACGGAAATACTACTACCAGCTCAGATGCATTCCGTATCAACTAGGCATTGACTCTTTTTCAACTGTTAATATTTTATTTAGAATTATCGGATGAAAGTGGAGGAAATTTTAGTAACGAACAACTGAGATTGCAGGAATTTTCAGCAGACAAAAAGCAAAGGTGAGTAGCAAAAGAAACAAAATAGAATAGCTCATAGTCATCACCTTACTTTTTAGTATATCACATGGTAAAAATTAAAATTATACACTTTTAAAAGCCTGAATTCCTATGTTGTCACACCTTGAAAACTGATGTGAACCATTAAAAATATTCGCAGCAGTGGTCTGCAGAAATTGATCCTAAGTAAGTCCATTCGTGACTGATTTTTTTTTTAAGTCAGAAGCTCCGAAGGATGGCACTGTTTAGTTAATGCACTCTTCGAGGGTGGTGAATATCTAGGATTGTATTTCAATCTACCTCAGCAGCCTACTGTTTTATATTAGTAACATAATGCGCTTCCGAATCAAAATCAATAACCTGTTAAATCGGCGTACCAGCTCGAAAAGAAAAATAAAATTATGGAGAATTTTCCTATGATTAATTAACTTGGTCCTAAATATATTATATTAGGCTCAGGCCTAGCTCACTAACTATCATCATAGTTCAAAAAGATTAATTTTACAGATGCTGTAATTAATTTTCAATCTCAATATCATTACTGATACCGATACTAAATAGGCTTGCAAACCGGTTTACATTGAGGCAAATTTATTAGTGAAACTAAATTTATATTAATATAGTCCTGGTCTTGTAAATCATTGGAACCATGACGTTTGAAATTAACATTATTTCAACACTTCGAATGCAAACATCTATCTGTGTTATTATCTGAAAATTTAAAAGACATTCACTTGCAATTTAGAAATTATGTATCATTAAATTTATCAGCGCAATTTTAATTTTTGCTCATTAATAAAAATAATAAGGGTATTATTCAATTTTTGCTAATTCGGAAGCAATATATGTTTTTCATTTAAAATTTTGATTAGCAATTTGAATTCCATTTCTATTCCGTTATAGACCTATTAGTATTAGGCCTACTTTAGCAAACATCATAATGATATACTCTTTATCTTTAGGAATGTTAAGAATGTGATTATTGCTAGGGATCATCTTAACATTTACATTTTTTTCTTTTGATTGTTAGGTGGAAAATGAGATAGAGTAATTATAGTTTAGACCATCACGAGGATGGGATCTTATATTGTTCTTAATTTTTAATTAACTTCAGCATAAGTGTTCTTAAAAAATAGATTCTTATAATAAAAAAAAAAGTGTATACACATTCATTTCAAAGTTATAGGCCTACTTATGTTTGAGATTCTGATTTTGTTTTTAACTAATATACATAAAAACTACATATGTTACAATAGACCTTTAATGTGACTGCCATCTTAAGGCTCAGCGTCAAACAGCCCTGTCGTTATCTTACGATTCTGATCCATATTTAGTCATAACCGAGCCTATAATTATGTTTTGGGTTGCCGTTAGATAAAATCCATTCGGGAGCGTGCATGTTGTTTAAAACAGCGTGTTTTAATTATTCGTTTTGTTTTGATTTCAAACGTCTACATTTTTTTTAACGCCATGTATCCGAAAATATTAACGATGACTTGTGCCCAGATGTGAATGCGTTTGCTGAACATAATAGATATTTCGGAGGCCATTAAACAGGTTTGGATATTTTAAAGCGCAGTATTTACGTTAATATAGGCCTACTGTGTGTTTTTTTTTTGGGGGGGGTGTTTGGGGTAGTAGGTTTCTCTCCTCTTCCCAGTGGTGGCGCTTGTGGGTAGGTGCGGAGACCAGAGCCCGTCTGCTCGACATATCTCAACGAGGATGAAAATGAGAATTGCGACCGGACAGTCTTATCCCAAACTGATGACCGTCATCCCCGATCTTCTATCTGGCCACTATACAACTATTTGTCAATACAAACTATTATAACCCCGATTACACTTAAAAAAAAAATATGAACCAGTAAAATTTTACCCAGGCTCAGTGTTCTTATTTTTTGGCCTATTTCAGGCTCAAAATGTTCTTATTTTGTTCTAAATTAACACACCTTTTAAACAAAAAATTATTTAATTTTATGGCAGTATGCACTGTACTGGAATGTAGGTGATGAAAGTGATCCCACTAAAAATGGCCGCCAAATGTCAGATAGGTACACCTGCTGTACTGTATTATAGAGGGTATTACAGTCACACCTACTGCACATAATGCACAGATTTAATATTTTGGTTTTTAAAAATATAAACCTTATTTGAAATTTTACCTCAGCCTCAATTTGTTCTTATTTTGTTCTTAATTTTTAAGCAATTTCAGCCTCAGTGTTCTTATAAAAATGTGTTCTTATAAAAAAAAGTGTACTGTATAACATCCGGACAGAAAATCGGCAAGAAATCATCAATGAGAAAATCCCCCTAGAAAAGAAGGGAGCATCACGAACCAAGTTGTAAACGTGGGGAAATACCACATGATACAAAGCTTGCGTATGGGCACTTTGGCATATGACGTATGCTTCGACTTTCTTTTCTACAGTTGAATTCCAGTAGAGAAAAAATAAAAAGTTACAAGCTCAAGAAACCCTGTTTTTTGTATAGCACACATTAATTTTCCAAGTTTAAATTCTAAAATCATAACACTGTATAGCGGTATCATACTTTGTGTGAACGTCATCCTCACCAACCACGTGCGTTTTGTGTTCCTGAAGCTACTCACGTGACCCCGAGGACCGAAAAAAATAATCGTTTGTTATTGTTATGAGGGAAGCAGATTCTAACAGGCGTCAAAAATTGTTTGTGAATGAATATAGTATGAAAAATTCGTTTGAGTCGGCCCTGAGTCGGCCGTATTTAAGGCGGCCCTGGGCCGACCTAATAAGTGGGATTGTCATACCTAATATTAAGCTACCATAAGGTATGCCTTCTACAATACTGCTAGTACTATTCTACAATCGACAACAACCTTGAATTATGTTCTGTTATAAGTGATCTCAACACAGGATCTAATTGTTGACACACAAACATGTTTTTTCATGTGCAAATTAAATTTTATAGGGTTATTAATAATAACATTGTTCTTTCTTTCATCTTCCTTAACTGTAGTTTGACTGGCGCTTGTGCTGAGACTGAAGGGCACTCCACATCCATTACCGGCACCTTACACATACACGAAGGCATATCACCCACAAATGATCAGCAAGCTTTTATTTATACATATAAATCAACCAACACTGACAACTGTGGTATTTTAGTCGGTGATGATTGTGGATCGAACTTTGAAAAGAACAGGTCTACATCGAGGAAAAATTTTTTCTCAGCATCTAATCAATTACCAGCTACTGACGATACTAAAGGTACCCAATCACCATCATCGAACTTTCCCTCAAAAAATTTAGTCGCATCTATAACTGAAAAATCCCTTGTATCACAGTGGAAAGCCTCGACTGCTAAATCGAAATCACGCCGCTATCAGGTTTCAGCAGGCAGGCAAATCCCAGGTAGACTATCAACAAATATAGTTCGAAAATTTTCGGCTATAGAAGCTGAAAACAAACAAACAAATACGAAGGATAATAAGTCCTTGAAAAAACTAGATAGTGAAAAGAAAAGCCATACATCTAGAATACCAGTCACTCAGATTACGCGAGTAAAGCCCGCAGATTTGAATGGAATACAGACAGCTTCAACCAAGTTATCAAGTGTTTCTTCAAACAGATCATTACCCGTTCCGTGTGTTCAATCTGCGTCGTCGAAGGAAACAATAACCAACAAGGAACAGACAATACCACACAGCAGAAGATCATCAATTAAAAGTCCCAGCCAGAGGTTATCGTGTGGCCAAGTTGGTGAGATTTCTTCAAAACTTGAAGAAAAGCCAATTAAGGACAAATCAGCACATAAGGTCCAAAGGAAAACGATTAAAACAAACAAAGACATATATGAATTGTCAAAAAGATTTTCATCTGCAGACCGAAGCAAGGACAAAGGGAGTGCGGGGTATTTGAAATCTGAAGAAAAGAGTAGGCCTAGTACTGAAACAACCAATTCAACACCAAAGATAACACGGCACATAAACAAATCAAAAGCTGGTGTAGAATCAAGGAAAACACGTATTCCAACTCCTCGGTCTAGGATTCAAACTCCTCCATCTGGACAGGATAAAATTTCTAGGGCCATAAAGAAGGACGAACAGCCTGTGCCATCTACTGTTTGTTCAAGCAAACTAAATTCTCTGGGAGAAGCCTCATTAAAAGATACACTTAAATCAAAGAAAACAGACACAACAACTAAGCAAACTCTTGGAAAAAAGGTTTCATTGTCCCCGAAGTCAAACATAGCGTTTGCAACTAGAAAGCTTCAGGAATCAAAGAAAATGGCTAAAAGAACTGTAACAGCTATTGATATATCTTCCGGGCGTAAAGGAATTGGAGCACTTGCCGCCAAGTTCGAAACTAAGAGTAAGATTGATACTCCTTCGATATCTAATAAACCTATCAGAAATGAACCATCGTTCGCTTCCAGGTTTAATGAAAGAGTAAATGATGATAAAAATAGGAATGATATAAAATCAAAAGGCGTTTTAAATTCTCGTGTGAATAAGTCACTAAAGCCGCCTGCATTTGGGGTTAGACCAAAACAAGAGTCGAGCCGAGTTGGGGGGAAGGCCGCATTTCATTGCACTGCGTTTGGAATGAGCAAACCTGATGTGACATGGATTTTCAATGGGAACGTGCTGGAAAATTCAAAGCGACACAAGATACACGTTGACAAGGGTATTTATTACCTAGAGATAGTTGATCTTGTACCGGAAGATGGTGGGACATATATTTGTAAGATGGAGAATGCTGCTGGAAGCGTTGAGGCATCGGTAGAATTGACTGTCAGAGGTGAGTGTAAAGTTAACCTTTAAATTGTAAATTGTTAGTATATAAATAATTAATTTATTGGTCACCTGAAAAATGTTTGTCGTTAAGTAAAGTTGCAAGCAATCTCACACACTTGTAACAGAAAGCCATCATTAAACTACAATTTGCTACTATTTTGTACAGTTACCGTTTACTAAAGTGCTATTACTTTGGCTTTGAAATTGTATATGTTTTGGGCAAACAAACCGTAACTGCCTTCGCGAACTTTGGTTGTGTGTTTCAAGTTTTATTAATGTAAGTTATCGTCGATATATTGAATTTTATTAACCATTTTACAAATGTAAGAAACAGTAAAGTCTAAATTAAACCAACTTTTCATCCTTCTTATTGTTATCTGATGTCTGAAAATACTACAATACTACAAATTAAAAAATGTTAAATTTTATGAAAATATTTACTACGATAATTCTATCTAAAAACATCGTTTCTATTAGCTATAGTAGTTGTACTATCAAAACATTGCGGTTTTTGCTTCCAGTTGAAACACTTCTGCACACTGTGTCAGGTGGAAAATATTCGTTGTACGTGATTAAATGGGACAGGGTAATAATTATATCACGACTTGACATTAGACTTCAGCATACTCTCACGTAGCGCCATGATCATTTTGGTTTTGTTGATAGATATTGTAGTCCTTTAATTTCTTTAAAAGCCCATTGCATCCCAAACACAAAATACAAAATAACCGAACTACACTTTGTTGTATAAGAACACAATTTGAAAGAATATTTAGGCTGAGATTGCTCCAAAAGAACAAAATAGGAACAAATTGAGGCTGAGGTAAAATGTCGAACGAGTTTAAGGGAAAAAAAACAACTAACAACCAACAAATCAAGCTCATCACATACAGTAGCGGCAGAATGTTTAATACAGTACCGTACATCAAAGAAAGAAAGAAAGAAAATGAAAGAAAGAAAGAAAGAGAAAGAGAAAGAGAGAGATAAAGAAAGAAAGAAACCTAACAAATCTTATCTGTACCTTATGTGTACTTTATCTGTAATACCATAATAACAACAACAAAAAAAAAACTTCTGAAAAAATGTATTTCCAAAGCAGTCATGCTATAATCAAATCTTATACAAGATAGACGGGGATTATCGTCTCGTTGGAATCAGAGAAAATTCTTGTAATTTTCTACCGAATGCCTTGTCTTATGTAAGTTGATAAATTTGAACGCAAAGACGTGTACCTGCATTGTCAGCACTTTAATTTCCCGCATCTGTTTTAAATGGATGAAATGATATACAAAAATAATCAAAATGGACAAAATATTACCTTTAAGAGTCGATGCTTTCGGTACCGTCGAAGTATCGTCATCAACCGTCGATTGGAGGTCACTCGAAGTCATGTGACCTTAGGTGTTAGTAAGTAAGTAAGTAAGTAACTTTATTGCTTATCTTTTATAACAGAGGCACAACCGTAAAGATGTGCAACAATACCAAAATCAGTAAAAACTTAATTACTGTGATAAAATATAGTAAGAAAATACTGCGGTAATATAATACTAGTAAACAAAACTAGCAAAGGAAAGTGATAAAACTGACAGTCAGGGAAATTCTTAGTAAAAAGGTGAGGTTTTGAATTAAAATGCTAATTTTGGCATTTTTAAAATTTTATTTGGAGGTGTATCCCATGAGCTGGTGCAGCAACAGACAAGGGCCCGAGCGCCGTATGTGACGGTTTTAGTCGTCAGATAATAAACTAGGCGGTAGTCAGTAAAGTTTGTAATTTAAGTGGCTGTACATGTATGGTGTTACTACTATTATTTTAGTAAACGCAAGTTTCATTGACCTTTTAGCAGAAAAGTAGTTATTGGGTAAAGTTCACAATATTTGTTTCTCAAGGAATAACCAATGGCGGATCCAGGAATTTGAAATGGGGGGGGGGGCGGCCCCGCATAGGAACATTCACAGATGGAGGGCCTAGGTCATCTCAGCACCATGGTTGGGGCTGAGGTAAGCAAATGTATGACTATGTTACTAGATGGTACTCTCAAACCTTAAATTTGAAATATTATCTTCTTTTTTCTTCTCCATTTAAACAAATTTATTGTGAGGCTGGGCCCCTTTGAATCTGCCACTGATTTCAAAAAGAACATATTTCAGAGGAGACAAGAGCCCCATTCACTTTTATTTTTTTCACTTCATTTCATTTCTTTAGGCACGAGAGCCAATGATACGCCAGTAAGTGAACTTAATCACTGTCCTGCGTGGCATATCCATTTAACAACAGGGGACTTAATGGACCAGTACACACCCCCTACTCTTCTCGAAGGATATACTGGGTTCTTTAAAGTGCACACGAGCCAAATGCGTACACTGGGCCTACTTTTTTTAAGTCCTTATCCGAGAAGACTTGTTTCACCACTGGAACCATTGGCGAGTGAGCCGTTCGAACCAGCGCCGATATTAGAGCTGAAGGCTACGGTGCCCCTGGTTTAACCACTCGGCCAATCTCTACCCAACTTATGTAAAATGCTGATTGTTTTTCTGTGTGGGATGGGCCGACCAATCAGTATTTATTAGCCTTAAGCTTGATGACACAGATGAACTTGAGAATGTAAAATCAAATATTATTTATATAAAAAACCATCATGTTGGTGAACTTGATTTCAGAATAAAGGAACCCACCATGGACATGACGATACGTATTGATCAGTTTCAAGTAAAACAGTCACGCTGATCCACAGTAAACCAGGTCTCAATTTTATGCCCATGATGTCGGCCTTCTTTCCAATGGCGAAGTCGCAAAGTTCATGCGTTTTTGTTTCTAATAACATTGTGTTTGGCCATGCTACACAATGGATATGCAGGAAGATTTAGTAAAGGCCTAAGAAAGGCTGATTTAAAACTTTATTTATTGTCAGAAAATGGAGCCAACTCATCTCATTGAAAAGGTGGAAAGTCACCAAATCTCAGTTAAGACAACGGAAATAAAAAAAAAGATGACATAAAATAGAATGGAATACTAGAGCACAGTCTACTCATTATGCAACATTTCACTGGCTCTTAAAAAAGAAAAAAAAAATGGTGTATTATGTCTACACATTATTCATAACGCGGCGCTTACACCGTTGCAGCCAAAGGTCGCCAAATCCATTCAACCCTTATGTATTAGACTAAAAAGTATCATTGGCGCTTACTTCGTAACAAAATTATATATTCCATCAGCCAAGCTAAGAAGTCCTTCTACAATGAACGTCTTCAGAACCTCAAGATATGGCGAGCCGAGTTGTCATTTAATCATAAATAGAGATATCTTAGTTTTAAATAGAGATATCTTAGTTTTTAATAGAGATGTCTTAGTTTTAAATAGAGATATCTCTGTTAATAGAGATATATCTCTATTGAAAACTAAGAGATATCTTAGTTTTAAACAGTGATATCTCTGTTAATAGAGATATCTCTATTAACAAAGATATCTTAGTTTTGTTTCCGGTGCAGAGCAATATGGGAAGAGTGTTCATACTATCGGCAACTGAGGTAAGTTAGCAAGAAAACGGTTTCAGGCTCCCCAAAGTAGGGGATTACTCAACCGTATAGACAAATGACCTACTCCTACTAATGAAGATTTATAGCCCAGAGTAGCCAGTCTCTGGCCTTGATGACTTTGTACATTTCCTTTTCTTGATTGTGATTCAGTTCAGTTAAGCCTATGTTTGTTTCAGTATACCTCCATGGTTTCAGGATCCCTGTATTTTGAGGAACAGCTTTGTTTTATAAAAAATTATTTATGATTTCTCACAGATTACACTTTTTATTAATCAATGCATTCACCCATCTAGATACATTTTATTCATTTTCATTGGCTCAGGCTAGTGAGATCATAGGCCTACATTCGGCTGATTAGCCCTTT